TAACTGGATCTTCGCTTCTGCTCCAGCTTTGCAAGAGGAGCTGCTGCCCTGGAAACTCTTCCACACCTGCCCTGGGAGGGAGCCAGCTGCACCTTCATTATTTAGGAGTCTCTAGACACTTGATATAATGAGCAGGTGTGGATGCTTCGTTGACTTTCTGCAACATGCCTTTACTTACCCCTGTCCCCTCCCCCTAGATGCCTGAGGATAAAGGGAGTGACATTCTTCTCCAACCTGTGCTGTGCCTACCTCCTCCTTCATTCTCTACCCCCAAATCCACTTTGGAAGACAAGGACTAGTTTCCTTGCAAACTTCAAGTTGCACCTGCTGATATAGATAGGACCCAAAGTAGCAAAGGGATGACTCATCTTTTTTTTTTTCTGTTAACACACTTTTCCTTTCCCTGAACCTAAACTTACATGTCAATCCCAGAAATTTAATTTACATGAGTCAAAAAACAATCTAGATTTTCATAATGTGGATTTCAACTATGTGAATGTAGGGAGGGTGTCCTATGCCCACAAAATTGATTGAAGGGAAATATGAATAGAAAGGTAGCAAATGGCCCATAGTTCTTAGGTCCATACACCCGATGCTTAGCTGCAATGACGAGGGTCATGGGTGGCCCTCTTCTGGACACTCATGGACACCCCAGACCTTAACTGCTAAGTTCCTTTTCCTCACTTCCTTTTCAGGGGCTGTTATTGTGGGGGGGGGTGGAGCGGTAATTGTGCTGTTTGAAGTTGACCTGGCAGGAAGAGCCGTTTTCAGGTTTGCTCTTGATCCTTGCAATCTGCCTGTGACTTAATTGCTACCAGCATCTTTCCTCGATCCCAACTGTGTTTTAAAGCGAAACCAAATAATTCCATTGAGTTCTAATCACAGACCTCCTTACAACGCAACAGCTAATCATTAAAAATCTTGTTTTGGAAGAATATAATGCTGCTTAGTTTTTGTCACAAACTAGAGTCACTTGGGAAAAGGGAACCACAGTTGAGGAATTGCCTCCACCAGATGAGTCTGTGGGACACTTTCTTGATTTCTTGTTGATGTGGGAGGGTCCAGCCCATTGTGGGCAATGCCATCCCTAGTTAAATGGAGGTAGCTGGGCAAACCAGTAAGCAGCATCCCTCCATGGCCTCTGGCTCAGTTCCTGCCCTGACTTTCCTTAGTGATGGATTGAGTTCTGGAAGTTATAAGATGAAATAAATCCTTTCCTTCCCAAATTGGCTTTGGTCGTGGTGTTTTATTACAGCAACAGAAAGCAAACTACAATGAGTATTTATTGGCACTGGAAAGACGCTTATTATGAGATGTCAATAGGGAAACTAGCCTATAAATAATACTTCTCAGGTCAGCAAGATGGCTCAACAGGTACAGGCACTTGCCAGTCAACCAAGCCTGACAATCTGAGTTTGATCCCCAGATCCCACATGATGGAAGGAGAGAAGTGACTCACACACATTATCCTCTGACTTCTTCATCCATGATGCAACAGGAGCCCCACCTCCCCACACAAATAAAAGTTTAAAAAATTATAGTATTTCTCAGTTGCGGTACATAGAGTTGTCTAGAAAAGTTGAAAGAAAATATAACAAAATGTTCCTGAGAAAATTCTATTTTGTTTTGTTTTGTTTTTCGAAACGGATTTCTTTGTTTTTTGGAGACTGTCCTGGAACTCGCTTGGTAGAACAGGCCGGCCTCGAACTCACAGAGATCCACCTGTGTCTGCCTCCCGAGTGCTGGGATTAAAGGCGTGTGCCACCAACGCCCGTCGTCCTGAGAAGATTCTGATAAGCAATGTGATAGATAGTATCAATTGTTGACAGGAACTAGAGTCACCAGGAGACAGAGCTCTGGGCATGTCTGAGAGGGAGTTTCTGGACTCTGAGTCTTGGATGGAACCATCCATGGGTAAGTGTTGTGAACCGAGTAAAAAGAAAAAAGCAAACTGTCACCAGTTTTTGTTCCTCTCTGCTTCCTGACTGTAGATGACATGTGACCAGTTTTTGTTCCTCTCTGCTTCCTGACTGTAGATGACATGTGACCAGCTGCTTCAAACTCCCGCCATCATTGCTTCCCACTGCCACAGACTGTGCTGTCCACCTGTAAGCCAAAACAAACCCTTCCTCCCTTAAGCTGCTTTGTCATTTTGTCATAGCAATGAGAAAAGTAACTAATAAAAGCTAATAGGTTTTTCTGTACCCCAATAATAGGTTTCTCTGCCGATGCAGTAAGCCAGATCAAGCCAAATTGAAAAAGTAGAAGAACAAGTTGATTTTGAGCAAATCAACTCCTTCCTGGGTGAATCCTCCAGGCAGGAGAGGGGGCAGGAGAAATCACATGACCTAACTAAAGCAGGGCGTTTATGTACCCTGTAGGCGAGGGGTGATGGCGTGTCTGCCACAAGCTGGGTTTGTGCCCAGGTATGGTATGTTTTAGGCAGGGTCTTGGGGAGGAGCTACCGTGACTGCCAAGAATGTGGAACCGGGAGTTTTGGCACCTTCCCTTTGTTGGAGATTCTCTGAGAAGGCAGGATTTGGAGAGACAGAAATGGCGCTTTCGTAGGAGCGAGCTGGAAGTTCCAGCAGAACACAAGCAGAGAGAGTACAGTGAATTATATTTGTAGTGCTATTTTTCTGTTTTCTACTTTAAGACATTTTTCTTGTCTTCACAGCTACTAATACTTTTCCTATGAATGACAAAACAATTAGTCATAGCAGTCTTTTTTCAATCAAAAGAGAGGCTTATTTTCTCTCCCATCCCTTTTGCATCCTGTTTGTTGAAGATGAAGAAACCAGGGCTTAGAGGCATCTAGAGACATAGTTAAGGGTCAAGTTCAGACTGTGACCACTGTGACCCAAAACAGTGCTGAAGAAGTTGCTGGGCCTCAGAAACTAGAACAGAGCTCCGAGGTTCCTTCCAGCCCAGACTCTGTCGCTGTACTGTGCTGGTTCCAGCACTTCTAAGTCTCCGAAGGTCATTGGATGCAGGGGCAGGTGTCCTGCGTCTACTCCAACTGTATCTTAGGGCTGTTATTGTGGTGACAAAACACCATGACCAAAAGCAACTTGGGGCATGAAGGGTTCATTTGGCTCATACTTGCACATCATAGTCCATCCCTGAAGAAAGCCAGGGCAGGAACTCAAGTAGGGCAGGAACCTGGAGTCAGTAGATGATGCAGTGGACTTGAGAGATGCCGCTTACTGGCTTGATCCTCATGGCTTGCTCAGCCTGCTTTCTTATAGAATTCAGGACCACCAGCCCAGGGGTGATATTGCTCACAATGGGCTGGGCCCTCCCACTTCAATCACTAATTAAGAAAATGCCCAGCCGGGCGGTGGCGGCGCACACCTTTAATCCCAGCACTCGGGAAGCAGAGGCAGGCAGATTTCTGTGAGTTCGAGGCCAGGCTGGTCTACAAGAGCAAGTTCCAGGACAGCCCCCAAAGCCACAGAGAAACCCTGTCTCGAAAAACCGAAAAAAAAAAAGAAAGAAAGAAAATGCCCAACAGGCTTGCCTATAGCCTGCTCCTAAAGAGGCATTTTCTCAATGAGGCTCCCTCCTCTCAGATGACTCTAACCTGTGTCAAGTTGACATAAAACTACCCAGCACAAATGGCTTCACTCAACTTCAACTTTCCCTCTCTGTCCCACTCATGGGGCCACATCTTGGATTCTGTTTGAAGATTCTATTTCACTGTAGACAATTAGATGGTAAATAATTGAAGAGAACGGAAACTGGCAAAGTGGTGTGTGATGTCCAAATAGCTCTCTTGTTTACTCTCTGGTGTAAACTCAAGGCTCATCTGCAAGCCAGGAGGCCCGAGTGTAGGTGAAATGTACAAACACAGGAATCTCCTGTCTTCTTTTCCATCTTTGGATGCCACTTGGGGAACTCACTTTCCTGGTTTGGTTAAAGTCAGAAACTGCCTGGCTTAGGCAGATATCCGGGTGACATCTTAGACATAGCTGAAGCTCCTCCCACTTGGGGTTGTGTGACCCAAATCCAGAAGCTCCAGTTTCTCCTTCTTGGAGGACTCATTATCTAATAAAGCCAAGGCATTCATCTCCATCCATGCTCTCTCTTCCTCTGTGTTGAGGGAGGTACCTTTCCACAGGCCCTGCTAGACGTGTCTGTCACTATAGCAGCAGTCTTAGTTAAGACTCTGAGTTACAGGTAACACAAACCACCTCCACATAGCTTAAGAAGAAAAGGATATGGGCACGGGGTGGGCCGGGATGGGGGGGGTTGGGGAGGCGCTATCCTCAGAGGCCACTGGTAGAGATGGATTGAGATGGTCTGGCCTCTCAAACGCCTGGAGTCAGTTCAGGCGTAAAAGAGCAATGTGTAGCTCAAATCATCAAATTACAGGAAAAACAATTGACAAGAATCAGGGCCTCCAAACCCCCCCTGCCCCCTGGATATGACTGTGCTTCTCTCTGGAGTGAGGCTTTGTTTCTCTGGCTCTTGGCTGACTTCTTCCAGACTTTTTTCACAACTTTGAAACACTTCCTAACCACTGCAAAAATAAGAAGATTCTTTTTTTCCTTCTCTCCCTATTTCAGTTTAAAAAGATCCTAACTTGTCTATTTGGGTCATTGGTCCTCACTGAAGTGGGGTATGAGAAGACATTATGGTATGATCCAGGCTGACAGCCATATTTATGTGGCCTTACCATGGTGAAATATTAAAATAATCTCATCTTCTGCACACAAGGTGTATACTGCTAAAATGTCTAGTATAATCTAGGTATGGCACAAAACTAAAAATCTTATTTTTAAGGATATATAGAGCTCTGGCATCTGTGAGGCCTAGTAGACTAAAATTCTGAGATAAATGAGCCCTTTCTGAATGAACTGGTCATATCTGACAATTTTGTCCTCTTGTTTTGTTTCTTCCAAACCCAGGTGCCAGTCGAGTCTACAGAATGTTCCCAGTGTGAGGTCATTTCTGGGATAAAGAGAATATAGTCCAGTTTGATGCTTCATGTAACCAGGGGGGCAGTAACAGAGACCACAGGAGGTCTGAACACAAGGACAGTTTGCCCCATGGAGCTTCTACCTCGGTGAGTCTGATGGAGCAGTAGAGGCTGGACTCTAATGGCAGGGTACATTTCCCGTGGGCTTACAGAATTCGAGAAACCAAGTACTAATGGAAGGAGGAGGCCTGCATCAAATATAGGATGTTTGCCAAACTTGGGAGTCAGCCACCAAAATGCTTGCTTAGCTGGAGCTCCTAAGAGCAACTGCGTCTTCCACAGGCTTCCAGAAGTAAGAAGACAAGAGACTTGCCAGGCAGTCAGCCCAAAGCTGAAAGGGGTTTCATCGAGCCATCAGAAGAACCTAGAGACATTCCAGGATCAAGAGGATTGTAAATTGGTCCAACCCAATTGCCTGTGTAACCACACCGACATGACCAGCCTCTCACCACGTCTGCTAGCAGAAGAAAAGGAGTACCTGCTGCCTTGGTCTCTTCTGTAATAAGAGCTCGTTAAAAAAAGCAGGAGCATTACTTAGTAGTCAAGAAACAAAGCCGGCATAGAAGCAGACCCACAAGTGCTTCTAAGATTTGACTTAGCAGACAAGGATTTTATAACAGAGCAAAGACAATAAAGGAAACACATTAGGGTAAAAGAGCATTTCAACAGACAATTGGAATCCAGGAAATAGAATCAAATAAGCATCAACAACTGGAAAATATAATATCTAAAATTAAAAACTCATTAAATGAAAATTTGCATGCCAGTGTATCTGTTCACCCAAGCCTCCTGAGTTCCTTACATTCTGGTCCATGGGACATCTCCATGGCCAACAACTAGAGAGTTGACAAGCAGGGCTTCTTGAAGCCCACCCTCTCACTGCAGATGGGTCTCTCCTGATTGGTCTATATATGCACTTCCCCAACTGATGTCACCTTTTGGAAGTCCCCACCAGATCCAAATATTGAATCCATATAGAAGGCATTTCCTAAAAAGGCACAATCTCAGAAGAGGAAGACCATTTTCATATGGAAAGGGATATATGTTCATTGGTGATTCCCACACAGAAAGCCAGAAATCTAGGAGAGGAACCTGCTGATTATTGAGCTAATTATTTCTCTGTCTCATTTCCACCCTGATTAAGAGACTTGAGTGCACCACGGAGAAAGAGATCAAATGGGATGTTGGATAGCTAGACAATTGTGCTATGTTGTTTAGCCTCCTGAGTCTGGCTGAGTGTGGTCCCCATGATAGTACTTCCCATGAAACTCATGACAGCCTTACAGACATGAGTTCCTCACAGGCAAAACCTCAAGAGAGGACTCCTATATCATCTGCCATGCTTTGAAAGATGGTAAAGAATCAATCTACCTTTTTTTGAGACAGGGTCTCCTATAGCTCAGGTTGGCCTTGAACTGGCTATGTAGCCAAAGATGACTTTGAATTTTTGATCCTCCTGCCTCTACTTGTGGTTATGTGGTACTAGAGATAAAGCCCAGACAAAACTCTACTATATGAGCTACATCCCCAGCTCTCAATCCATTAATTAGATATGGTAAGTGCAAAAAAGGAGCAATAGTTATTCTTTCCTTTCCTAGCTGTGTGTAAGATAAGCAGGGAGTTAATGAAGGTTTGCTTTTCCTTATAGATATATTCTAGCTAAGAAATAAAGTTACCATAACAGCAATTAGTTGCTCTTAATGAGATAATGTATTCAAACAATGATTCCACCATTTTTATAGAAATACAGAAATCTACCTATGAGGCATTTTGTTTGTTTGTCTGTTTTGTTGTTGTTGTTGTTGTTTTGAGATGGGGTTTCTTCGTGTAACAGCTTTGACTGTGTGGTCCAAGCTGGCCTCGAACTCACAGAAATCCACCTGCCTCTGCCTCCTGTGTGCTGGGATTAAAGGTGTGCACCACTACCACCAGCTTCAATTGCTGAGAATTTGAACCCGGACCACATCCAACTTTTGACCTTGCTACCAATTTGTAGGGAATTTGTCTCTTCAATAAGCAAATCAAAATCGTTGAGAATAGAGTAGAGGACACGAGACTAATCAAATCAGTATATATATCACATGATAGTGAAATTTAGATCTTAATTTAAGAAAAGTATTTTAAAAACCACTTTATGGCAAATCAGGGAGCTCTGAACACTTGAGTTCATGCTGAGTTAATTTAAGAGTGCATCATAGATTTTTAGATGTGATAATGATATTACAATTGTATAGTGTCTACTAAGTATTTATCTGTTAAGATGATACCTTGAAGCTGGGCACAGTGGCACATACTTATAATCCCAGCATTCTAGAGGTTAAGACAGTAGGATTATGAGTTCAAGACCAGCTTGAGCTATATAGCATAACCCTGTGTCAAAAACTAACAAAACAACAGCAATAAAATGAGGGCACATTGAAATATCTGTAGGTGACATTATAGGATTTTCCGAACTTGCCTCAAAATAATTTGCAGGGAGGTTTAGGGTCAGTGTGTGGAAGTACAGGAAAGCGAGGGTGGCCTTTGGGGAAGGTTGTTCAGACTGGGTGATGAGTATAGGAAAATCCATTGTATGTTCTTTTTACCTCTGTGTGTTTGAACCCCAGCAAGCACATCATTCACCCTGTGTGCTAAGGAGGTACATGCTGGGGATTAAGTAGTCTGGGATGATGCAGGAACCACCAGACCAGCTCTAGAGGGACTTCAGTCTGTTCCTAACTAAACATAAGGAGAAAAATCTCTTGACGGGGTTTCACTGTGTAATCTAGGCTGGCCGTGAACTTGAAATCCTCTCAAGCCACCCTTCTGAGTGCTGATGTTACAGGTGTGCTAGTCTTCTCTTTCACACTTATTGAATTTGCTTCACTGGGTTTTTTTCTTCTTACATTCCATACCCAATGGATCACTGGATAAGTGCCTTTGGTTTGTGATGATTTATAAGTATTCTATCTCGGGGATTGGAGAGATGGCTCTGAAGTTAAGAGCACTGGTTGCTCTCCCTGAGGACCCAGGTTTGATTCCCAGCACCCCACGTGGTTTCTCATAATCATCCGTAGCTCCAGTTCCAGAGGAACCTGACGCCCTCTTCTGTCCTCCATGGGTACTGCATGCATGTGGAGCACAGACATACATGCAGATAAAACACTCATGCACATACGATAACAACAGCAATAATAGTTGTTGTGGAATACTTAACTATGTAAAGATGCATTACATTTGTTTATGTGGTGGAATACTACCTTAATTGTGTAAAGGTGTGCTACATTTGTTTCTCCTGCGTTTGTTTAATTATGAAAATATGTGTTGCTGTTTCACCTTGCCGGCCTAAGGCACTGACTGAGCTAATAAAAAGCTGAACAGCTGAATGGCTAATAGTTAGGCAGGGGAGGGATAGACAGGGATGGCAGGCAGAGAGTAAACAGGAGGAGAAATCTAGGCTGGAGAGAATGAGAAGAAGAGAGGAGAACAAGGGAAAAGGATAGGGAGATACCCAGGGCTAGAAATTAGGCAGCTGTCAGCCACAAGACACAGAACAGGACATACAGAAGAAAAGGCAAAAAGCCCCCAGGCAAAAAGTAGACAAAGAGAAACAGATTAATTTAAGTTAAAGAAAAAAAAAGCTAGTCAGAAATGAGCTTAAACTAGGCAGCACCATTCGTAACTAGTAAGAAGTCTGTGCCATGATTTGGGAGCTGGTTGGTGGCCCAAAAGAAAAAGCCTGCTACAAATAATAATAAACATTAACAGTGTGGATAGTCCAGACATCTAGTCTTTATGGAGCTGCTATGATAGAGACGCCAGCTCCACACTGTTTTCTGAGACGCTTTGTTCACTCACCACCTTCTGAGGCTACTCCAAAGCTGTCTCACACATTGCTGGCGAGTCTAAATTTCCCGTTTAAGACAGGTTGCAGAACCTGTGCCCTCCTCTCTTCAGTTTAGAGTGTGACTGAGGAAGGAAGACATGCACAGTCATTTCTAGGTTGCATGGGGCAGGCTGACCAATTACCCGCTAATTGTGGCCACTGCAAAACAAGAGCAAGCATGTGACAGAGGCAGACAAGCAATCAGGGGAGGTGGATTGGAGTGTCTCTGCAGAGCCTGCGCAGGGGAGGTCTGGTCCCTTGCTTGGCACTACTGGGGGCTGGAAAGACTTTCAGAGGGGAGGCCTGATGAAAGGTTGTCTTGTGTGTCCGTCATGCCTCTATCAATGGGGGTCATCCTGTTTCTCTTTCATTCCCACCACGAGGGGAGTGGTTTTGCTATTCTGTGTGCTCTGTATATGCTTCCCTCTTACCAGACGCTTGTGGTGGTGGCGCACGCCTTTAGTTCCAGCACTCAGGAGGCAGAGGCAGGCGGACCTCTGTGAGCTCCAGGCCACAGTCAGAGCTACTCATAAAGGAACCCTACAAAAACAAACAAACAAAAAAGAATCTGCCTGTGCAGCAAGGATGGAAACCTCCCAAACTGACCTGAAATGTCCTTTTTGCCTCTCTAAAGTTGATTGTCTCAGGTGTTCGATACAGTAGCACAAAGCCAAGGAACTTGACCTTAGAGTCTTTCTCTTCACCCACTTTGCATCAGGCACAGGTTGGTTTGTTGGGAAATGACCATGTGTGTTCAGTACTAGCTCTGGAATCTTATCAGTTTTGTTGGAGTCCTCCCCATCAATGTTTTACCCGCAGTGTCTTCTTCCAACAGTGCTTCCTGTCAGAACAGTAGAAGCAGGCCTGAGCTCCTCTCCAGCCTCCCGACAAGCTGTCAATACAGAGCAAACAGTCCACCTAGGATGCCGAGAGTCCCACGTGCAAAACTGAAATCTTTATATCTAAAAAAATTTTTTTACATTTGTTTTATTTTATGGGTATGAATATTTTGCCTACATGCAAGAATGTTTACCTCAAGTGTGCCTGGTGCCCACAGAAGTCAGAAGAGATCTCTGGATCCCCTGGCACTGGAGCTATAGGTGATTGTGAGCCACCATGAGGGTGCTAGGAGTCAAACCCAGGTTTTCCGCAATAGCAGCGAGCACTGAAACCACTGCTCCATCTCTCTAGTCCAGGACTGGGCTCTTTAAAAGCCCCGTTAGCTGCTCTAGAGAGCGAGTTCCAGGACAGCCAGAGCTGTTACACAGAAAAACTCGGTCTCAAAAACAAAACAAAATAAAAACAGAAACAAACAAACAAAAAGCCCCTTTAGATAGTTCTGTGATCAGGTCTTGCCTTTGTTGGGAATGACTGGGTTTCCTTCCAGAATTTTCTTCAAGGGGGAAAAAACAAGTTCTGATTTGCCCACAGTAGAACAAGAACCGGCTTTCACAGAGCGGATTGGAACGAACAAGGAGTAACAGTCATCTCCAGAAAAGCTTCCATGGGAAAGGTGGATGGAATTTCAGCTATTTCAGCTTTAGTCAAAATGCTTCTGAAAATTACACGATCTACAGCCTGGCTTTACTGTTACTATACCCAGGGGTCCAGTAGAGCTACACTGCAATGCCTCCATTTAAAAACCAAGTGTGAGGGTTTTGTGTACCATGCCAGTCTCTTGGGACAGGACGCTCCTCCATCCCCAGCTTGCCTGCCTGGCCTCTTTCTTCTTACACTTCCCAGCCAACCTGCTAGGGAGGTACTCTGTTTTCCTCGTCTTCACTGCTCTAGGGCTGTCTAGAAACGCAAAGCTAGTAAACTCAACTATGAATCATTGTAACTAAAAAGATACATAGAAGAGAGCTCCCTCCAGTGTTAAAGACTGCTTAGCCCAAAACCTAGTCGAGGGTACAGTGTGGGGAGCCACAGTTAATGTAAACGATAGGAGGAATCTTGGTCACAGTGGAGAGCATGACAGATAGCTCCTTTTGTATTGGAGATCTAATGTGAGGGGAGCGAAGCTCCAAGGAGGGTGTGGAGGAGACCAGCTCTTCTAACTCACCTTTGTTCTCATGGCTGACGCTCTCCTTCCCCTGCCGCCTTTTCCCTGTTAGTCTGTGGAGGCAGAAAGTAGATGCAAAATAGCCGCAGCTTAAGATGGTGAAGCTGAAAGAGTTGGCACTCACTGAGCTCACTGTTTCCTTTCTACTGTCTGGAGCCAGGGTAGGAGGCAGGATAGACAACAGCACGTCTACCTGGTCCAACTTTCCATACTTTTTTTTTTTTTTTTGGTTTTTTGAGACAAGGTTTCTCTGTGGCTTTGGAGGCTGTCCTGGAACTCTCTCTGTAGACCAGGCTGGCCTCAAACTCACAGAGATCCGCCTGCCTCTGCCTCCCGAGTGCTGGGATTAAAGGCGTGCGCCACCAACGCCCGGCTCCAACTTTCCATACTTTTAAAGATGACCAGCAAAACAATAACCAAGGCAGATGGAGCAGAAAGAGGAGCAAATGAGAAAGGGAGAATGCATAATGTTGCTGCATGGAGGAGGAGGACGGATCCTAAGGGCAGAAGTCTGGATGAGAAAATGGGAAGAAACATTGCCAGGGAGCTTTATCATGACCGAAGAAATGTGGAGGTGTCCGAGCTGGGTGCTTAGAAATACATCAGACACTCTGCTAAGTGGTTTACATCCATTGTCTGAACTTAACCATTCTGGTGACTCTGAAATGTGGGCGCTCTGGTTTTTCTCAGCACAGACAGAGAAACTGAGGTTCAGAGAAATAAGCATTCCACCCACGATCAGTCCTCAGTGATGTGCGGGATTAGGGTTTAAACCTGGGGGTGCTGACTCCAGATGGAGCTCTGGCTGCTAAGTAATCTTCAGTCACTCTTCCAGAAGCTTCTCTGCTTCTCCCCCGTTTACCTTCTAAGACTGGATAGATACAGGGTGGTGTGTTATGGGTTGTATGGATCAGTAAAAAGAACCTTGTCAGACTAGTGGGCTTCTAGATGCTGGTGAGCCTGAAATCCATGCCAAATGAGGAAGCTTTGGAGAAGATGCCTAGATTAGCTTGTGTGAGAGAAATGTGGGACACTGAGAATGGGAGGGGCTGACAGAGAGAAGCAGTTATTGCAGGAGTCTTTTCAGGGAGACCGGTTGGTACAAATGACAGAGAAGTGGATTAAATCTAAGTCTTGAGGCAGACTTCTAGCTAAGGCTTTCCAAAACTGGAGGGTGGGGGTGGGGGTGGGGGTGTGGGAGTATGTGGGGGTGGAAGGGATGTGGGTGGGGAGTACCCTCATGGTATAGAATCTCCCCATTACTGAAGGTGTATGATCAAGACTCCATCATTAACTTATTCATTCTCATTACTTATATGGAGAATCCATACCTATTCTAGAGAATGTAGTCCGAAAAATAATAAAAGACAGGTATCTAATTTTAGTGTGTGTCTGTTGGGGGAAGGCCTGAAAACAAATAAAAACAGAGACAGATTGTTACATTAGTTACTTAAAAGTCAGAATATATAGCTTCAAGGAAATGAAAAAGGGCCTGAGGGAGGACACAAGGGAAAAGTCTGGAATGTTCCGCTGAGGTTCTCCTGGGTTTCCTTTGTATTTCTAGTGTATTAGTCTGGTGTATCAGTCCCTGGCTTCTCTGTGTTTGCAGTTCTTAGCACCTTCAACTTTGCTCCAGTGACAGCCCTGAGCCACTGAGCTATCTGCCTATCAGCAATGGAAAGTTCCCCTAAAGCCTCCTTAGCCCATGACATTGCCAGTTCAGTCAGATGCCTACCCTTGGTTCTGGGGAAAAATAAAAAACAAGGTTCTGGATATAATTTGCAACTCCCAACATGCCAAAGGAATCTGGTCCAGGCTGGGACTATATTGGGCTTCCAGGCTTCCTCCTTGCCTACTGTCTCCTTCCCTATGCTGTCTTTTCCTAGGCCCTTATGAATCCTTATGTTGATATGCATCTTGGAACTCAGTCCATGACAGCAGGGGCCAGACTTACATTTATAAAATGCACTCTGGTCCCTGGGGGAGAACAGCCTGTACCTGTGTGCAGGCTAGTGGCTTAGACCAGTGATGAAGGAGGATTTCTTTAGGAGGACACCAATGGTGAGAGCAGAAAAGGGGACCTGAACTCCGTTCTTACTTTAAAAAAAAAATGGTTTTGCCGGGCGGTGGTGGCGCTCGCCTTTAATCCCAGCTAGGGAGGCAGAGGCAGTCAGATCTCTGTGAGTTCGAGGCCGGGCTGGACTGACAGTCTCCAAAACAATACAGAGAAACCCTGTCTTGTAAAACCAAAAAAAGAAAAAACCGGTTTCATATTTCTTTTATTTTATGCTTATGAATGTTTCACCTGCATGTATGTATATATATGTACCCCATGAGTGCCTGGTACCCATGTAGGTCAGAAGAAGATGTTGGATCCAAACTATGGATCATTGTGAAGCACCATGTGGGTTCTGGAAACTGAACCAGGTCCTCTCTGCACGAGCAACACGTGCTCATAACTGCTGAGTCATCTCTCCAGTTCATAAAGTCTGTTTTGAAGATAGAATGAACAAAGCTTGCGTATGTGGCAGGGAATGAAAGGAAGAGATCTGGAGTAGCTTCTGGATTGGGTGATGATGTTGCCAGATATTGATGTTTAAAGATATTCAGAGGTTTAGAGGGGACTGAAATCTCCTCACCGGGCAAGGAGGAGAGCCTCAAAGGCCGTGTAGCCATTTGAAGAGGCATACATAAATCCAGGCTCAGCCACTGAGCAAAAGACAGGATTACACAGGAAAGACAGTGGTTACACAGGAAAACAAACTCAAACAAAGAGTACACATCCAGATTGACAGGTAGCTGCAAAAGTCACTGACGCTGCCCAAATGCCTTTCAAGTTATCTAATGGGCTGTTTCTATTTCCTGCTTCTACCGTTCTCCACCCATATGATCCAGGTCATGTCAATCATTATGCAATGCTCAGGGCCTGTAGGTAAAAGTGCACTTGTGTAAGACTCATGCTTTCTCAGCCTGTCTAACTTACACCTTTGGTTTCAGGTCATCTTGCATTTGAAAAGAGCAAGATGTCTTATTTCTTTCATCATCATTATTGCTAATATTTACTGAGTATTCACTAAGTGGTAGGTACTTTGCTTAGCACTTTCCAATATAATCTCATTTAATCTTTGCACTGACTCTGTGAGATAGTGCTCTGGTCTTCCTCTCTTGGGGTTTAAGCCATTATGGTGGCTTAGCCATTCCTCTAAAGGGGGAAAAACAGTAACTGAGTTGGGGATTTGTACCAGATCCCAAGTCTTCAATGGGTATGATTAAACCCACTGGGGATAGGGGTGGGGAAGATGTACTGTCCAGGTATCCAGAACATTTCTTGCACTCCAGGCAGTAAGGTAAAATACAAGGTTCTGAATTCCCCCACTCTCCAGTTTCTCTCAGAGACACACCCACTACCCTCAGCCTCCACCTAGATGGTTAAGACAGACTATCAAGCCTCTGGACTTGTCTGTAGTGGATCATCTTGATTTCATCAGCTAAGATGGGAAGTGGGTGGTTCCATTCCTTATGGTATGCAACTGGATTACATAGAAAGGAGTGTCTAAGTTTCATTTCCTGTTGGTGTGATAAATATTCTAATATAAGCAACTTGAAAAAAAGCATTTATTTTTGCTCCCAATTCTAGATTATAATCTAGTTGTGGTGGAATGAGCTTTGGAGAACTGGTCACCTTATCTCCACACTCAGAAGAAGAAAGTAATAGATGCATGCATATTGTGTTCAGCTTGCTTTCTCCACTCCTAGACAATTGGAGATCCCCTGCCTAGGGAATGGCACCACCCATGGTGGTGGTCTTCCCATCTCAATTAATGTGATCAAGGTAATCATGCTGGGCATAACCACAGGCCAACCTGATCTAGATGATCTCTGAGTGAGACTCCCTTCCCAAGTGACTCTAGAGTGTGTGAAGTTGACAATTAATAACCACAAGGAGAAAGACCAAGATGGCTTAGCAGGTAAAAGTAACCTCTTTTACCTGTACAAGTATGACAAGGTGAGTTTGATTCTTGGGACTCATGGTGGATGGAGAGTATTCACTCCTTAATAGTTTCCTCCAATCTTCATTTGTGTGCTGTGATACTCACCTGCTCACATTAGTACACATATACTACTATACAGGTACATACTTGATAATAATAAATATAGTTTAAAATTTTTATGTAAAAGAAAGTGTGAAAGAGCCAAATGTGGTAGTGTAGGTCTTTATCCCAACACTTGAGAAGCAGGTAGTTAAGTGTTTGAGGCCAACCCGGTCTACATAAGTGAGTTTCAGGTTAGCCAAGGCTACAGAGTGAGACCCTGTCTGAAATGGGGAATGGGGACACTAGCTGAGTCTCAATATTTATCACTAGCTACTTTCTAACTGAATACAATATGGCCTAAGCCCTCCACATCCTCAAACTCTGAGCCAAAATAAACACCTTCTCCTTTAAGTTGCTCTTGTAAGAATTTTATCACAGTAACAGGAAAAATATTTAAGACACCACCTCGGCATCCCAGTTCTTCCTGGCACCCTTTGGCTCTGCTCTGCACAGTAGGGCCCCTCCCTGCAGGGTCACTTTCTCCTTGTTACGTTTGTGTGCATATAGTGTATGTATGTGTGCATGTGTTTGTGTATGAGGGGGCTCATGTGTACTTGTGCCAGCATGCTTGTGGAGGTCAGAGATCAAAGTCAGGTGTATTCCTCTATCTCTACCTTACCTTTTAGTTTTGAAACAAGGTCTCTCCCTAATGGCTGGCCAGTTGAGTACCAGGGATCCTGATAGGAAATGTCTTCTGTAAATATGTTTATCTTGTTGGTTGATGAATAAAATGCTGTTGGCCAAGATAGGTGGGACTAGGAGAGAGAAGGATTCTGGGAAACGCAGGCAGAGTCAGTCACCATGTAGGACGCTGAAGGAGTAACAGGTCTGGACTCTTTCTCTGGTAAGATAAGACCACGTGGAAATACTTAGGTTAATAGAAATGGGCTAGTAATTAAGACAGAGCTAGCCAATAAGAAGCCCTACTCATCAGCCAACAATATTATAATTAACATAAGTCTTGTGTGTTTATTTGGGGGCTCTGAGGTGGTTGTGGAACTTGGTGGGAAACACCACAACAGGATCCTCCTGTCTCTGCGCTACCTTTACATTTAATGCTGGGAGTACAGCCACACCCTGGCTTTTTAAGTGGGTGCCTGCAGATCTTACAGTAATAGCTCTCTCTTTTGCTCCTTCCTGAAAGAGCTGTACTTGCACCATAGAGGTTCAGGAATTTCCTTAGAGACGCCCCAAAGTAACTTGTTTTGAGCATGCCAGATCTTCTCAACCTATGTTCATCAAGTGCCTGCTGGGTGCTAGACAGTGTTTGTCACTGAGACAAGAAGTGATAAACCTTGGCTTTGACTGCAGGGCACCCAGAAGGAAGGCCAGTCGTGTTGTCTAGGCGATCAGATCAGAACTCTGTTCCCTATAGCCTTGCATTCTCAGTTGCCTGGAGACTTCAAGGGCCTTTTCTAGTTTAAGAGGAGACTCAAAGCCAGGAAGAATTCTTGTTCTGCAGTGAAACATTGGTTAAATCACCAATGCACTATTATAAATCACTGAATGTGTTACTACAAACCTCAAAACATTCTTACATACATTGAGACAAATAAGGAGGCGGGGAGATGGCTCAGCTAAGAGCAGTTGGTGCGCAGGCCAGAGAATCTAAGGCAGAATATCCAGTATTCACCAAAAGCCGAACATGGCCGTGCATATGCCTTGTTCAGTGAAAGACCCTGACTCCCAAAACACGTAGACGAAAACAGCAACAGCAGAAAGGAAAGTGATAAACAAAGACATCTCAGATCCTCCTCTGGTCTCTGCATGTATGTGTACCTACACACATATGTGCAAAGAACACACACCACACCACCACTGCCACCACTAATAACAGTCTGAAAACACATGGATTTTACACTACGTTGTGAAATGGGGATAAAGAGAACACAGTATTGACACCATGAGCCCACTGAGGGGAAAAGGCTCAGCTGTTTTAATGATAGTGATTATCTCAAAATAATGAGTTCTGATGGTTGCTTTAATTATAATTGGCTTTGTGTTCATTTTTAATTTTAAAATAATTTATTAGCCTACCCATTGCTCCTCACAGATTCCATCATGAGAAAGCCTGCTGCCTGTATAGTGCCAGGGACAAAAAGGACCGAGTGCAGAAGAAAAGAGAGCCCACATAATGGAATTTTCTTTTTTTCTTTTTCTTTTTTTTTTTTTGAGACTTTTGTATGTCAATGAAAAGACCTGTATATCCAGTTCTCTAGATCATTCCAAAGCATCACCTGACTTTTTAAAATTATAGACAGGTGTGAGGTAGTATATCATTGTAGTTTTGTTTTCTAGTCCCTTGATGATTGGGGCTATTGAACAGATTTTCCAGTGTCTCTTGGCTTATGTATTTTCCTTGGGGGAACTATTTATTCAGATACATAGCCTAGATCTTATCTCTTAAATATGATTCTGCATTTTTCTTTCCTGCTAGGGAGCAACAGGCATATTCAGCAGTCAGCACTTAAAACAAACAACTTAGTTAGGCAATTAGGAACCTTGTGCAGGACATGTTCGTCAGGATTCCATCATTACAACCAAATAGCAGAGAGGATTAATGTATGAAAGGAGAGATTTATTTAAGCCACACTCTTGGAGCATCTATTCTGGTTGTCATAAGCATCATATCATGGTAAAGTGCACCACACAGCATAACCAGTCACATCGTGAATCAGGGAGCAAAAGGAACAGGCTTTGGGCTCCACAGTCCCTTTGGAGGGCACACCCCCAGGAACCTAACTTCCTCCCACTGTGCCCCACTTATGGAAGAGTCTATCACCTCCCTGCAGTTCTACCCTAAAAAACAAGTCCTTAACACACGCTCCCCCGGGAGACATTTAGGATCTAAACTACAGCTCAGGGTTCTTACAGTTTTTCTGCATTTTCTTGTCTGATTTTTGTTGTTGCTCTTCTTGCTCTTTTGGTTTCCCCCCCAAATAAAATATGTTGCATGGTGCTTAAAATGTTATTTAGGGTGCTGGGGAGATAGCTTGCTGTTTAAAGCTTTTGCCTTGTGATTGTGAAGACTGGATCCCTAGAATGCAAATGCAGGGTGGTGTGGCTGCTCACATGTCACTCCAGTCTGGGAAAGCAAAGGCAGGGCAATTTGCAGACCAAGATGACCAGGTGGTCTAGGCATATCATTAAGCTCTGGGTTTGACTGAGAGACCCTGCCTCAGCAGATAAAGTGGAAGCATAATCAGTGATGTTTCCCAGCCAAGCAGGGGGTGGTGCACACCTTTAATCCCAGCACTGGGGAGGCAGAGGCAGATGGATCTCTGTGAGTTCAATGCCAGCCTGGTCAACAGAGAGAGTTCCAGGACAACCAGAGCTACACAGAGAAACTCTGTCTCAAAAAAAGACAAAATAAAAAGAAAAGAGACAAGGGTTAACTCTTGAATCCCAGGCTGATGCCTGGGAATCCAGCATGGGACTGATCAAGACCCCCTGAATGGGTGTGTCAGTGAGGAGGCCTAGGTAATCTATTGAGCCTTGGGCAGTAGATCAGTATACATCCCGAGTATACACATGGACTTTGGACTCCCATCCAACACTGTGAGATGCACTCTCACCCTGAGCTCTTGGGGGAGGGTCTGGGCCCTGCCCTGGATGAAATGACAGACTGTGGACACCCCTATGGAGGGCCTCACCCTCCCTGGGGAAATGAGGGGATATTGGGGGGGTTGGGAGGAGGGTACGGGAGGAGGGGATGGAAATGGAGAGGGACCTGGAACTGACTTGTGAAGCAACCTTGTTTCTAATCTAAATTTAAACTTAAAATAAATAATAAAAAAATTAAAAAAAAGAAAAAGAAAAAGGAAAAAGAGGAAGGAAGGAAAGGAAGGAAGGAAGGAAGGAAGGAAGGAAGGAAGGAAAAAAGATGCTTCCCAGTATCATTTTGGGCTTCCAAAAGCACATACATGTGCATGTGCACCCCCACGTGTGCCCACACATATGCAAGAATGCATACCTGCACATGCACATCACACACACACACACACACACACACACACACACACACACACACACACAAATGGAAGAAGGAAACTTCATTTAGAAGCATATCTGAAAGGTCCCCTGCAAGATTCCAACTGTGGGGCATTCTGGCAATGACGAAACTGCCGAGTGGGGAGACAGGCACCAGGGCACCAGGGCTGCAGGGGAGAAGGCTGTGATAGACTCAGGGTGATCCTCCTGTCTCAGTTTCCCAGATGCTAGGATTACAGGAATGCAGGATAGCAGGAACCCTATTTTAGGATATCTTAAAGAGACATAATAAAGAAAATTCTAACTCTTTCTTTCTCACCCAGGGAAAATTCTTTTTGTTAATTTTCTAGCCATTTAATATCTATTATTGCTTTTATTATCTCCCCCCACCAATAAATGATATTGAAGTAACTGTCTCTGGAAATTACCTTTTAAAATTAGGTTTAACAGTTATTTGTTGTACATGATCCTCTTACTCATTTTATGTGCTATATAGGCTTCTATTGTATGAATATAAACAGAAAATTCTTAAAAATAACTTATTTAACCTTTATTTTAGGTGTATTAGGGTGAAGGTATCAGATCCCCTGGAACTAGTTATAAGCTACCATGTGGGTGCCAGGAATTGAACCTGAGTCCTTTGGAAGAACAGTCAGTGCTCTTGACCACTGAGCAATCTCTTCAGCCCCAAACAGAAGTTTTAAAATACTATTTTAGCACTATTTTCATGACATGAGAATATTAATGTTAGTTTATATTGTGGGATTATGGATATCTTCTATGTTTTCTAAGATTGACCTGTGAATAAACGTCAATTTTACGATGTTTAAAAATTTAATCAACAGAAACAGTACTACTGAAACAGGAGCGGGAGTTTCTGAAACCATCACATCCTCTCTGGCCTCCATCGGTAGCACCCCTGATAATCTTCAAACAGTCCCATCCTGTTTCTGCCCAGCCATCTTGCAAGGACAGCTGATTGGCCCCTGTCCCAATAGCTATCAGGCTGATTTTTGAGGCCCAATCCCCACAACAGGATTGGGTATAATTATTCCTGCTGTGATATTATGGGATTGATATAAATATACTTGCTGCACGTGAACAGGGTTTATTTCGGTCCATAGTTTACCATCTGGCTGTGGTATACCCTCTCCCAGCAGAGTGAAGAGAAAAAACTCTATTCACGCCAGGGGAAGAACGGGAGCTGGATGGGAGATCTCAATCAGCTTCTCGATAATCATCTCAGCTTATGCGGTGCTGGTGGGACTGTGGTGTCAGGAATCACAGGACAGAGGCACAGCATTGCACATAACTATTTGCACCTGATGCTGAGGCCTGGGCAGGCTGGCTCAGATCTTTCCATGTCACAGTGGCTTTGCAGCCTCTTCTCACAAAGGTCTCTGTGTGTCCACCTTCTGTCTCCAGCTCCCTCCCTGACGCAGCTCCCTCATTCCTTTCTGGTCTCCGGCTAGATTCCCTCTGTCGACTCTGATCTACCATAAAACTGAATTCATGTTGTGCACCGCCAGTTGCGGAAACTAAGACTTCTTGTTTCTCTTAGTGGCAAATGCGGTGGTCCTGGCTATCTAGGGGTCTTTGCTTGCTTTTCGCTCATCCCCTTGCATCTCAGCAGAAGGCAAGTCTTGCGACACTTTCCTGTGTCTCACACAGTTCCTGCTTCTCAGAGATGAGCAGCGGAATAACTATTCCTTAACTGAATGAATGAGCCGAAGCATGAAATTCTTCTTGATTGCCATTGCCCTGGCCACCGCCCTGGCCTC